CTAGACCTCCAAGATGACAAAGAGAACAGCAAAGCCTTCAGCTTTACAGACAAGAACTCAGAAACTGGAATGCAGTGTGTGGCTCATTCACAACAAAGTCTAGATTTTGGCAACATTGGGCTTGCTTTCCCATATGGCAACTGGAGTGTGATTATTGTTGAGTGGATTGGGGTAATGACCGAGGTTGGTTCCTAGAACAATATCTTTCCTTTCTGGGGATTAGGAAACGTCCTTGCCTCCTTGCAGATGAATTTTAAGTGTGCTCCATCAGAAAGGCCACAGTAAAGCTTTGCCACAACTGCCACCACCACCTTGTGCCATTTTACTCGCTGCCTACAGAGTACCTTTTGAATGATGGAGTTTCCTTTGATTTCCTGCCCATAAAGATGGAGACATGGCCATACATTTGATCCCCAAAATGGCTAGTCATTTGACCTATCTTCTGTTTTGCATGAGAAGAAAACTGCATGATTGTGCAGTGATTGTATTAATAGGATAGATTCCCCTAACACTGTGGGTCACCCTATTTCCAAACTTCTGAATGACTTCTACTGCATGATAATTTTTCATTTGCCCTTTATATTAGCCTAGGAGAGGATGTGTCTGAGCAGCTGTAAGTGTTCACTGGAATGATGCAGGGATCTGATTCCTTTAACAGAGTTTGAGGCAGACCTCATGAGCCATTGTTGATTGAGCAGATTCTAGTATCTATCACTGTTGACAGCTTGCTCTTATTAAACCTTGCCCCAAAGTGAACCCTGCAGCCCCTGATAAATGGATGATACCAAGGAGCTAAGGAGCCCCTATGTGGCCTTAGAAGACTTAAAAAAATAGTTTCTTTGTGGCTCTCCAAAAGCCATGCCCTGTTTTTGTTTTTAAAGCATTGAAATGATAATCATCAATGCAGCTGTATGTGATGCTGAATAAGAGGCAACAACATGAAGTTAATATATCATCTGAGAGCTGATAAAGGGATTCATAACCAAAGCACAGTTGTGTGATAATTAGGAGTCTGTTTTGGCCGAATGGATTTTAGTTGGGGATTGAACATTGGCATTGCTAATAACTAGTTATGTGAACTTGGGTAAGTTTCTTATCTCTGTGACTCTCACAAGAAAATCATATCTAGCTCTCTGTATCTGTAGTTCCGCATCTGTGGCTTCAACTATAGATTGAATATAATTAGGGAAAATGTTCGCTTGTACTAAGCATGCACAGACGTTTTTCTTTATAATCATTTCCTAGGCAGCACATCATTAAGAACTATTTATGAACTGTGTTCATTGTATTAGATAATAGTAATCTAAAGATGATTTGAAGTATAAGGATTTTATGGATGGGTTTTAGGCAAAAGCCATGCCACCCTTAGATCTTAATATCTACAGCATGGATGTGCTTAGAATCCAATGCCATAGACACCGAGTAGGACAAGATTTATGTACTTAAAACATTATGAGTGAGAACTCTCTACCACTGGAGGCTGGTGGCTCACACTTGTAATTCTAGCTACTCTGGAGACTGAGATTCAAAGGACTGGGTTTCAAAGCCAGTCAGTGAAGAAAAGTCTGGGCTGATGGTGTGACTCAAGTGGTAGAACACTGTCCAAACAAGTATCGAGCAAGCCAAGCAGGTAAGAGGCCTTTAGTTCAAATCTCATTAAATTGCTTTCTTTTCCTTCATGCTTGTATCTTAACTGCTTTGAACACTACAAGTCTCACAGAGGACCATAAATATTTAAGAAATTGATTTTTACAGTAGAAAGTATATAAATATATGAGCATCAAGCTGCCTTGATAAAGGTGTGACTTCTTAAATGGGGCAGCTTGTGTGCAGGATGAAAATTAATTTTAAAGTTAAAATGCTGCCAGACAATGCAATGGTTAAAACAAAAATAAGAAAGTATGTTTAATGGTGTGGGTTTACTGCTGATTCCCTTCAGGAATGAGTTCCTGGCTGTAGAAGTCTTTATCGAGATGCCTGGATCAAGCAGAATACAAAGGTCATGATGCCAATTTCATCTGCAACTTGTTCTGCGGGGCTAGAGTCTTGGCTTTTAGGGAAAGACTTGTGGTTGCTATGGAACTGTTAATAACGATTGCTGTCTGTACCTCAATTCTTCATACTCTCAAGCTCCAACATAAAATCACTTAGATTTGGGCTGTAGGGCAGTAAACAAACTTTCAAGCAGGAATTAACTGGGCTCAAGCATTAGTGTCTTAATGTAGGAAATGACTTTCATTATAACCTTTACTTACACTGGCACTCTGGCTGGTTTCCTGATAGGGCACATGAGGGTCAAACTTTGCTCTTCTGGATGGCCACTGTTAAAAGCAGTAGGTTTTTATCATAATGTAAATACAGCTTTTAAAGTCTTTGGTTTGTATAGACCTGATCTGAACACAGGTCTTTTTATTTTCATGCAAACAAAGAACCACCAATTTAGCTATCTACTGGATTCCTAAGTAGAAAGAACAAAATATTCCTGTTGAAATCAATCAATCAATCAATCAATCTATCTATCTATCTATCTCTATTCCCCCAAAAATAAACCTTGTAGAAAAATGACAGTTTTGCTGTATTTCTGTGCCATTTGTGATCCATGTCATGTCTTACTTCTGAATTGCATTTTAAAGATATGGATCTCAGTCCTCATTAATGTTTAACTGATCTTTAGGGAAAATGAGTTGAGTTCTTGATCTCTAGGCATATAAAGCTAGGTCTGGATTACTAGCTGGGTGCGGGGGAGGCCATATCTAATTTTGGGACTTTGTAATCTCCCCTATCTGCAAATAATTCAACAATAATACAAAATAAATAGCTTCCATCTCCACAACTGCTGCTCTCCCTAATCCCTGCAGTATGTGTTTCCCAACAATTATCTAGCCTAATTCTCAGTTTTATTGCTTAGGATTTTAATGCTTCAGATGTGGAACATAGAATAAATGTGATTGTCAATGAAAGTTAAAAAGATGCAGTTTTCCACTGGCAAAGCAGCTAGTTTGTAGGAACAAACAAACAATGCGGTTTTGAAAAGGGAATGTAAACATTACATTAGCTCCAGTGACTTGGCTGCAAGAAATGACAGTCACTCCTGAAGGTTAAACAGCCCAAAGAGCTTTGGGCTTATGGTGAAATTAAGTCTTCCACCCAATGTGCAGTACTGCAGAAGACAAAGGTATTTCTGAGTGAATAAACTGATTGTGCTGTTCAATAAATTCATGTTTGCAGAACTATTTAAGGTATTATAAAGTCAGATATGATATAATAGAAATGCAGATGGAACTATCAAATTCATCAAGCTGCTACCATAATTCAGATGGTATCCACAGTTGGCAAGGTGATGTCAAGTCAAGAAAATTGAAGAATGAGAGATGGATTTCTAAGTGAGATCAGGAGAAAAGAAAGCAGAGTTAGTAGGGGAAATCAAGACTGAAACAATCAACATTATTGCTATATCTGGAAGAGAGTTTAAAAATCAATTTTTCTTGCTTGTTGTAAAATTGTTCTGCCAAAAATACTGACATTGTTATATACGTTTTATCTCTTGGTTTATTTAATCTTCTTTAACAGCCATTGTTAGTTCAACAATCCAATAATTGGGGTTACATTATTGCAAAATAAGGACATAGCCGAATAGATTATACCATCAATATATTTTTTAAAGATGTTTCCCTTTTGTTAAAGACAAAGCATAGTTTGTTAATGTCATCTTGGCTTACTTTTATTTGAAAGATTATATACAATGGTTTGTACTACAGCTAGAGAATTTGCTTTCTGGGTCCATTATCTTGAACTGTCATTTAAGAAAACAGCATTTTGTAATTAAAAAAATAAAGCAATATTTTAGTATAATGTTAGGCAGCAGTAAAAATTACCCTGTCTGAATGAATGTGTATACAACATAAAACACTAGCATGCTTAAAAGTTTAAAACATTAATATTCTGTGAAATTAATGCATAAATAAAATGACTTGGGATGAAATTACTATTATGCACAAATAAAGAGAAAATGGCATTATTTCCTCCCCAAATATGTAGATTTTTAAAGATTTTATAAGCAGGTATCAAATTATTTGAAGTGTAAAGTTATTTCAAATTTGGGAAAATGCAGAGGATAGTAAACATCAATTGAGATTTATGCTCATCCCAGTGTTAAAAAGACAACATTCTTTTGAACTTAAAGACAACTTTTGTGATGCACTTATTAAGAACAATGCAGCTTTAGCACTATAAAATGCTATGCTATTAAAATCATTTAAAACATTAAAAATAAAAATGTTAGAGATAAAACATGCTAGTCTAGGATATATGAACTTCTTTATATTCTTTAAAGAATAACATAGGCAAGCTTAAGCTTAATATTGAAAATATTTCACTTGTAAGCACTTATTATTTTCCTTTTGACTTCATTCTCTGACGTTCTTTGTTCCTCCTTTCTCCTATTTGTCAACTTTTGCATGTTACTTTTCTGTTCTAATAGACTGGACTTTACTCAATTAATAGCTTGTATCATTACTTATCATAATGTTCTAATTTCTATGAAATAAAACAATGGCTTCTACTAAGTGAAATCATTCTCTTCTACTTTTTGAAAATGTTAATCTTAACATATATGGTTATGTCTTTAGCTTACATACTTATGTATATTATATAGCTCACACATAGGGAATAAGAGTTCACAGAGTACTGTAAAAGTTCACTAATTCACTTACAGTATTCAGCAAGTGAATGGAGTAGCATAAGTTTGTGTGTGTGTGTATGTATATATATATATATATATATATATATATATATGACTTCATTTCAGGATGACTATCTTAAGTGTCCTCTAGATTTTCTTACTAAGCCAAAGGGATCAGTGCTTTCCAACTGCTCCATTTCCCCCACCCCCACCCCCCTTCCTGGTAATTTTGGATAAACTCTATAGAAACATCGAATGCAAATTTAAAGTGGAGCCCCTGACAGATGTGCTCTTGATTCTTGTGTGTAGGGTGCTGCTTGGTCGGTGAGAGAGTGAGTGGGCAGTGCTGGACTTGGGGAGAAATTCATTTCTAGGCCATGGCTGCCCCTTGCACGGAAGCAGGGGCTGGGCTGGGCTCATGGTCTCTGCGCTCAGGTGGTCTGGTTAACCTGGAGTACAGCGGGCTGCACGGGTTCCTCCTCTGACCGCTCTGCTTCCTCAGAAGCTAGAGAATAGCCCCCCTCATAGCGCACCCTGTGTGCCTGTTCCAAGGCCACCGATTCCTCTTCTTCATCTTCCATAATGGTCAAGTTGACGTTGCTGTCGGTTCCTGACTTACTCCCCATCAAGGCCGTCTTCTCGGGGTCTCCTGTGTTCTTCCCCTCTGCCAGGGGGCTGTGGAGCGAGGCTTCAGAAAGGCCCTCTGCAAATGAGCTCTCCTCGTGGTCATTTGGTAACTGCTCATTGCTTGCCAAGTCTTCTGACTTGCTGTCATTTTCCACCGGGCTTTCTCCTTCCCTGACTTTCTTCCTCCCGAAAGTGAAGGGGGAGCTTTTCCCTGAGGATGTTTTCTGGTGATTGGAAGTGAGAGATTTCTTAATTTTCTCTCTCCTCTCTACGGATACGATCTTTGTCCCTAGCTTGTTCATCTTTTTCTCGATGTTCTGGCGAGAAAATGCTTTCTTGAGGCTATCTACCTTCCTGAGGCCGGATCTTTTGATTTTCTCTGCCCTACTTTCTTCGGTCTTCTCCTCTGCGCTGTCTTCCAGCGCCGCCGCCTCATGGGCCAATTCATCCAATTCATCATCGGAGGAGAGGTCCACCGCGTGCAGCGTTTCTTCCAGGGACTTGTTTTCGTCTGCGAGCTCCTCCTTTCCTTCCGCTGGGCTGGAAACAGGCTCTTTTACAAACACATTGGCAGGGATCTCATTTTCTTCCTGAAGAAAAAAAGAAAAAGATGGACAACGTTGGTTTTTGTGTTAATAGTAGACTTCACAAATGGTCCTGGCCAGCTTCAATGTGCATGTCTGGGCTCTGGTGGGGGAGGAGGGGGTGGAAATGGTAGATAGGAAATGTGTGTGGCTTGTTTTTCTACAATAAGAAGCATTTGTTCTAAATTGGTCAGAGCCATTCCCCTTAGGCTGGATAAGGCCAAGATCTGCCTACTGGGAATGTCATCAGGGTAGCTGGCGCAGGCTCTATCAGTGGCAGGCAGGGGGAAGTGGGCTGCGACTCAGATACACCAGGAAGCTGCCTAGATAAAGGAGCTAAAGTGAGTTATTATACAGTGCATTCTCCCCCTCCCTCCCTCCCTCCTTCAAGGTCAGAGGGCTCAGCTCCTGACAGAATTCCACTGCAAAAGAGTGCTGAAGGTCAAGCTGGAAGATAGAAATAGGGCCAGGGGAAGAGAAGTGAGAAATCCTCTGTGCAGAGTATCACGTTAACATCTTGATTCAGGCGGTGTTAGAAGGAAAGGTTTGGTCAACCACAGTATTTGCTGTAACACACACATTTCTTTCATTGCCTAGCACCATTTTAGAATAAAGAAGCAAAGGTTAGTCCTCCTGGGGCCTGCTCATGGGATCTGGTGGCTCCACAGCCTCGGTAGAAGCTAGCAAGGGAGCTGAGATCCGGAGGTCCCTTGTGGAGTAGCAAGGGAAAGTACGCTTTCAGGCACAGCTCATCCAAACTCTGTTATCCAACTGAGCATCTTCAGGCAGCAATCTTTGGGCGCCTACATTTGATTCAGAGTGAGGAGAGAGGCTCAGGAAGCTGCTCCTCCTCACCACTGTGAACATACCTCTCCTTCAGCTTCTGTCACAGGCAGTGGTATTCCTCCCTGCCTGAGAACTCCACTCCAGAGGGCAAAGGGCATGGGGCTGCAGCATTACTCAGAGAGGAGAGTGTGGTCCAGACAGTCTTAGGTCACATACCCTTCTAATGTTTATACTGTTTTACAAGTATTAGAAAATGAGAGCTCATCAGCAAGGGCCTATCACATTTTCGCTTGAAAAAAAATCCAGCCCAGGATGGAACCTGTGGCACGAGGCCCAAGTCTCTGTCTGTAATCAATGGCTGCACAGCTTCACCAAATAATTTAATCTCTTTGGGTCTCCATTTCTTCCAAATATGAACCAGAGGATTTCATGTAGATTAGCAGCTTTCAAAATGTGCTCCCAGGGCCACCAGGACTCTGGATGAACCCAAGGTGACTCAAAGCTCCACCACTGTAAACAGGGAATCAAGGGGACTTGATTTTATTTCAGCTACTCAATTCCCTTTTAGATAGATAAAATTCAAGTCTAGCTGGGTTCTAAACTTCACACAAAGTCCATGCTAGCATGAAGAACTTCCCTTCTCATTTTTGCAATTTTGATCTAGTAAAATCACCAATAAAATTGGTTTATAATAAAAAACATACTCTAAGTCTGGTGCCAGTGGCTCACACCTATAATCACACCTATAATCCTAACTAATCAGAGTTTGAGATCTGAAGATCATGGTTTGAAACCAGTTCAGGCATGAAATTCCAGAGACTGTTATCTTCAATGAACCAGCAAAAAAAAATAATGTCAGAGGTGGAGCTATGGCTCAAGCAGTAGAGTGCTATCCTTGAACAGAAAGAGCTCAGGGACCATGCCCAGGCTCTGAGTTCAAATCCCAGGACCATCACAAGCACAAAGATTATTTGGAGACTGAATGTTAGTGTGTGTGTGTGTGTGTGTGTGTGTGAAGGTAGCTTGTGTGCTGGCACAGAGGCTTGAACTCAGGGCTTGCACTCTTTATTATTATTATTTTTGTTGTTGTTATTTATTTGTCAGTCATGGGGCTTGAACTCTGGGCTTGGGCACTGTCCTTGAGCTCTTCAGCTCAAGGCAAGCATGCTACCACTTGAGCCACAGTGCCACTTCCGGTTTTCTACTGGTTTATTGGAATAAGAGTCTCATGGACTTTCCTGCTTAGGCTGGTTTTGAATCGAGATCCTCAGATCTCAGCCTCCTGAGTAGCTAAGATTACAGGTGTAAGCCACTGGCGCCCGGCTGGGGCTTGCACTCTTACTTGGCTTGTTCCCTCAAGGCTGGTGCTTTACCACTTGAATCATATTTTTATGATTGGCTTCTTACTGGTTAACTGGATATGAAAGCCTTGACTATTGGTTTGTGTTCACTTAGAACCATGATTCTCAGATCTTAGTCTCCTGAGTAGCTAAAATTATAGGTGGAAGCCATTTGCCCAGTTTTTACTGTTTATTTTTTTGTCTTCTTAATACAAAGAATAAATGAACAAAGTTTTAGTACTATAGAGACACTTTCAAAAGAGTAATAATTCTTAATCACTGGATATCATAATAATGATAACTCTTTGAAGACACATAGCTCTTTATCTCTGTTATATTCACTTGTATAGGATCCTTATTCACTCATACTTGATCCTTTCCATCAATTGATTAAGATAAGGAGAGAGTCATGGGTAGATATAAAAAGCAGAAAGTCTTGTTGGATTCCTTGTTAGAAGACATTACATATTCTGTTTCCCAAAGCTCTCTTTACATCCTTCCAGTTTGAAAGCCAGGTACAGTATAAAAGACAAAGTAGAAAAGCAGTGTTTACCACGATGTCTGAACACTTGAAGCTCAACACCTGATTGGTAACTGAACACACTGGTGACAAAGTAGCTTTCTAAGAAGCCCTGAAGGTGTTTAGAGTGGGGACTGATGATCTACTGGGCAAGCTTGAGGACTAAAAGGAATGGGCTTAGTTCCTGTGTTTGTTGAATGCCAGTGTTGCCAGAGAAACCAGAACTTGAAACCTAGATGGAATCGTGGTCTCTTTTCAAAGGAGAGGATGAATTTTCAGTGGATGAGTATTAGTGATATGGGTGGAAAGTTAGGACTCTGGTGTTTAAGACTCTGGAGTTAGGACTCAAGCAAAACTTCTGGGGATGGACAAAGGTTTGGAAGCCTTGACAGATGTTGCTTACAGGAAAGGAAGAAACTAAAAGTCCGGTGAAATGTTATTAAAAGTCTTCAGTGAAGGAAGCAGTCAGTGAAGAAGCAGAGATTCAGGCAGAAAACTATAAAATTAAACCTTGGTTACCAGAGTACAGTTTGTATAGTATTATCTCTCAGAGGAATTAGAAGGGATAGCTTCCATTTCTTTAACCAAACTGCAGGTAGGTATATTAACTGTACTTCTCAAAGAATTCACAAAGGTTTTCTTATATATGAACTTTTATTATTACCATAGGGTCTTGAGACTCTTTTGTGTCTCATCACATACCTTTTGAGGACAGCTTTGAGGAACATGTACTAGAAAGCGAGTCAGGAGTGATCTGTGGTAGATACAGGCCACACAAGGGCATGAGGGGAGGCAGAGGGAAGGAGAAAACAATCAATTGAACTCTTTTTGTAAACTTTGATGCCAAGTATGGAAATCAACTCGGCAGGAACAGAGATCATCCAGGATGAGTTGGACATGCCTTTATGCAACTGGAAACAAGTGAGCGATGTCCTCTTGGCTCACGGAGACATTTCTGCTACCCTTTGAATAACTCAGGCAGTATTTTAGGTTCTGTCTACTAGACAGTGTTTGTCTGGTGGCATCTTACGGCATGCACTCTGCAGCCCAGGCCTTTCTTTTTCTATAGGGCTTTGTGAATGTCTAAGCACACGTTACCAAATGCGTGTTTGGAAGTAGAAAAATACTGGCCTTTTTCAAAAATCCCTCTTCTTTTGCAAGACATATGCATGGTACATGACTATGAAGTAGCTGTTGTGGTGGGGGAAACTTGAACTGAGCGTCGGATAATGGATCTTGTGTAACTGCCCTCTCCCCAAACTGCCAGTCCCACTGGCACGAACACTCTTGTGTGTGGTCCTCTCACACCCACCTCACAGAAGCATGTGATATTTCAAGGTGGGGGGACACATTTGCCTTCTGCTTACTACTATCATGTTTGTGACTGCTCTTTCAAAGGCGGAGATTTGTATACACTCTGTCACTGTTTACCTGTTCTAGTTACCCATTTGTCTACTTAAGGTTTGTGGTTCCTTGAAATGGCAGCATGAGTCCCTGTGGGATGCCTTGTTGGGCAGCTCTTCCTGGTAGAAACCCAGAGGAGCAGCTGGTTATTTGTCTTTTGTTCTCAGAAAGGTCTTGAGCCTCTACTGATGCAGGTATTCCTGGTTTTGACCTTTCACAAGGACCCTTAGGAGATTTTTCAAGGGACGGGAGAACTAAGCGGCACTCTTCAAACATGTATGACCGATCTGCTTGGGGCATAAAAGAGAAAGGAATAGAAAGAACTCGCAAGAAGTAACATTTTTCCTTGTACTTCAGCTTGTTTGCTATTTATATTGATTCCGGTGAACTAACAGTCCCAGTTGTGCATGGAAATATCAATGCAGTGAAACTTGCCGACATACTGGGTGCTTCTTGGGAGGAAGCATGTGATCGCGCACACATCTTCTCTGCACACATATACATTTGCACACTTAAAAGTAGAAAGATCTCATGTCTGTGAGAAAAGGAAATCAGCCTTAAGTCATTTAAAAAGCTTGAATATGGAGAGAGACACCAGCAGCTTGTTTTCCTGCCACAAACTTATCATTCCTGTTGTTAGACAAAAATAGCAAAGAATGTCCTATTCCTGCAGGGATGTGGTAGCATCCTGGAGGGATATGAAGGCCATAAATTTGTGCCCATGGAATATTTTATCCAATAATCTCTAAATACTAGTTATTAAAATGGAACTATGCCCACCTGACATTCTGATTTATAGGTCTCCTTTACACATCGATGTTTTTTTCCAATTTGTGTTTCTGAGGTATAGATTGCCAAGTGGATAAACCATTGATTAGAACTGCACCCCTAGGGCAGCTGCTGGTGGAATCAGCAAGTCATAAGAATAAAATGCATTAGTTATAATCCCTGAACAG